ATGTGGGAACAGCGTGCTGGTAATTACAAGCCCATGGGCTGCACGGAAATCTAGCAGCCCCTCCTACTGCTGCTTTTGGGCTTATCTGGCCCCATGCATTGCGTCCGCTTCTGCGCAAGCGCTGTGTGGAAGCTGCCTGGCCTGTCACTCCACACAAAGCTCTGCGTCTTATCAGCCACAGTTAGACCCTCTCTTTATGCTTGTGAAACATGTACCCCTTTACAAGAACACCTGAGCTTGCTTGAACCATTCATGCTGGCCTGCCTACGATCCATTGTGGGCTTTCCAAGGCTGGATTGTGTGATGAGCTCACGGCTCTCCTTGAAATATCGGCGCACAGTCCCATTAGTGAAGCTCCTCTGGCAGGCGAGGCTGGGTCATGTAGCCCGCATGCCCAGCCACCGCATGCCCAAATCAGCTTCTGTTTGGTCGGATAGAGGGGGCTGAACGGGTGCACCACAGGCGAGAGAAGAGATGGGCTGATGTGGTTTGGGTGAATTTAGTGATCAACAAACTAATCCAGCAGTAGAACTGCTGGATTATGCTTTCCGTCTGAGGACGACCGCTTGTGTTGCGATCGAAACGTCGTGATTTATTATTATTTTTTCTACCCACGTGACTTTACCGAAAGCACCAAAGAGTATGGATTCCTGCAGTCACGAAAGCTTCAAATCGAGAATGTCACAGTGGTTAGGCCACTGTGCTACAAATCTGAGACCAGAGTTCGATTCCCGACTACGGCTGACATTGGGTTCAGTGACTGGCTGGCACACCTGTAATTCAGCACTGTGGAGGGGTGAGGGTTGGCGGGTCGCACAGGTGTGAAACCTCCCTTCAAGGTGCCATACTCCGGCTCACCAGGAGAGAGGCAGTACAGCAAGTTCACTAATCGCCATCTGCTTTCATCTGTGTGGTTTTGTACCCTTCGTACTTGAAGGTTTTCTCCGGGTGCTCCGGCTTCGTTAGACGTTCATATACACCTGTCATTTATTTGCCGAAAACGTCTTAAATAAAAGCCCCAATGCAGGACCCTCCTGAACAAAAGAGTCCTCGGATTCAGTTTGCCTCGCCTGGATAAATAAGTAATGAATAAGTAAATAACCATCTTTGCTTGGTTCTTTCGGTAAAGTCACGTAGAAGGGAAGTAATAAAATAATCAAAATAAAACATAATAAAATAATTCTCACGACGTTTCGGCTACAACGCAAGCAGCCGTCTTCAGGTGAAGACGGCTGCTTGCGTTGTATTTTTATTATTTTATTACTTCCCTTCTACGTGACTTTACCGAAAGAACCAAGAAGATGAATCCCTGCAGTCAGCGAAAGCTTTAAATCGAAATTTAAATAACCATCGGCAATGGGGAGACGATTTTTTTTGTTGTTGTAAGCATTTTCATTATTCACGTTACCGACATTCCAACAATAGACACACTGTTTGGCATCGCAGGACGTGCGCGTCCTTATTTGCAGAGCTCATTGTTATTTACCGAGCTTATTTGTGGTGATGATGATGATGGGCATGACTATTATCTGGCACTCACTGGCTTCTAGGCATTGTTGTTGGCCACGTGACCGCCACCACCACCACCACCGACTCCCGTGCAGTGACCATTAACGTATGCGCGTTTGTCCGCGCACCGAAGTTTACGTGTATAATTATATCAGCAATTATAATTGAGTCTGCTTCCCCCAGAGGTGGGACAAAGTCATTGTTATGCAAGTCCAAGTCGAGTCTGAAGTCATCAAATTCATGACTCGAGTCTGACTCGAGTCCAAGTCACATGACTCGAGTCCACACCTCAGAGGTGGGACAAAGTCATTGTTATGCAAGTCCAAGTCGAGTCTGAAGTCATCAAATTCATGACTCGAGTCTGACTCGAGTCCAAGTCACATGACTCGAGTCCACACCTCAGAGGTGGGACAAAGTCATTGTTATGCAAGTCCAAGTCGAGTCTGAAGTCATCAAATTCATGACTCGAGTCTGACTCGAGTCCAAGTCACATGACTCGAGTCCACACCTCTGGCTTCCCCCCCCCCCACATTGCCACGCACACCTCACTTACCACACGCTTCCCCCACCACCACCACCTCCATCCACACACAGAGCCCTTTTGCCGGCCCAACGCGTCGAGTTAATGGGCGATGCGACTCGTTATCGGAGCGTGCGCACGCGGGGAAATAAAGGGGCCTCGCTCTAATTACACAGCGCCTGCCTCTCACCCCCCCCCCACCACCACCACCTACTCTCCCCTCTCTTCGCTACCCAGCCTCCCACGCTCTCCGCGGGTAGCTTAACGTCATCCCCCCCCCCCCCCCCCGTTGAAGACCTGTTATTTGCTGTCAGTGCGAGTGTGTGATTTAGTGCGGGGAGGAGAGGGGAGTGGCGCCACGTGAGTGTTTTTACTCTCCCCCGAGAGGGGCGGGGATCGTGTGTTTAACAGCACACGTGGGAGTGTTTGTTTTTTACATCCCACGGGGGAGTAATTTTGTTATTCTACCTTGGCGGAGTGCGTTTTGTTGCTGCCTCAATGCTAAGGGAGTGTTGTGATTCTTACGGTGGGAGAGTGTTTCTTTCTCAATGGGAGAGCGAGTGTTTTGCTATGGTAGAGTTGCTACTCTCTGGGAGAGCGAGTGTTTTACTATGGTAGAGTTGCTACTCTCTGGGAGAGCGAGTGTTTTACTATGGGAGAGTGTTCTCTCTCGGGGAGAGTGTTTTACGATGAGAGTTTTTCTCTGAAAGTGAATGTTTTACTATGGGAGAGTATATCTTTCTCAACGGGAGAGTGAATTTGTTACGGTAGAGTGTTTTACTTTAGGAGAGTGTATAGAACTGCTTTTCGTATTTCGTTTGTTAGCCTTGCCCCGCACCTCCAATTAGCACGGTTGATCACTTACGGCGCGAAGGAAGTTCAACAAGATATACGTATGTTTCTGTTTGGGCGAGTGTTTTTCTTTCGAAGAGCGTTATTATCTCTTTCTGGGGTAGCGTTTTACTGTGTATGTTCCTGGACGTCTTTTATGGGAGAAGAGAGTGGTGTTTGCCTAGGAAAGTGAGTGTATGTTCACTGTATCTCGAAGATAGTGAGGATATTAAAGAGAGAGATAATATTACCGTCTCCCTGTTAGAGAGTATACTGACATTACTCCATACAAACGAGCGATTATTTCCCTCTCCCTGGGCAAGGGAGTGTGTATAATTCTCTCTCGTGTAGAAAGTGAGAGTGTGCAGTACTTGAATTGCACTCTTCCTGGTAGAGAGTGACTGTGTCTTACTCATTACTCTCACCCTGGTAGAAAGTGCCAGTGTGTGCATTACTAGTATTACTATCGCCCTGACGATGCGTGCATTACTCATATTATAGCAATGCCTGGTAGAGAGTGAGAGCGTGTGAATTACTTGCATTACTCTCTCACTGGTAGAGAGTAAGAGTGTGGATTACTCCTATTACCTACCCTCTCCCTGGTAGAGAGTGTGTGGATTACTTCTATTACCTACCCTCTCCCTGGTATAGAGTAAGTGTGTGGATTACTCCTATTACCCTCTCCCTGGTAGAGAGTAAGAGTGTGGATTACTCCTATTACCTACCCTCTCCCTGGTAGAGAGTGAGAGTGTGGAATACTTCTATTACCCTCTCCCTGGTAGAGAGTGAGAGTGTGGATTACTCCTATTACCCTCTCACTGGTAGAGAATGACGATGCGTGCATTACTTGTATTATAGCAATGCATGGTAGAGAGTGAGAGCGTGTGAATTACTTGCATTACTCCCTCACTGGTAGAGAGTAAGAGTGTGGATCACTCCTATTACCTACCCTCTCCCTGGTAGAGAGTAAGTGTGTGGAATACTTCTATTACCTACCCTCTCCCTGGTAGAGAGTAAGTGTGTGGAATACTTCTATTACCTACCCTCTCCCTGGTAGAGAGTAAGAGTGTGGATCACTCCTATTACCTACCCTCTCCCTGGTAGAGAGTAAGTGTGTGGAATACTTCTATTACCTACCCTCTCCCTGGTATAGAGTAAGAGTGTGGATTATTTCTATTACCTACCCTCTCCCTGGTAGAGAGTAAGAGTGGATTACTTCTATTACCTACCCTCTCCCTGGTATAGAGTAAGAGTGTGGATTACTTCTATTACCTACCCTCTCCCTGGTATAGAGTAAGAGTGTGGATTACTTCTATTACCTACCCTCTCCCTGGTAGAGAGTAAGAGTGGATTACTCCTATTACCTACCCTCTCCCTGGTATAGAGTAAGAGTGTGGATTACTTCTATTACCTACCATCTCCCTGGTAGAGAGTAAGAGTGGATTACTCCTATTACATACCCTCTCCCTGGTAGAGCGTGAGAGCATGTGAATTACTTGCATTACCCTCTCACTGGTAGAGAGTAAGAGTGTGGATTACTCCTATTACCCTCACTCTGGTAGTGAATGACGATGCGTGCATTACTTGTATTATAGCATTGCATGGTCGAGAGTGAGAGCGTGTGAATTACTTGCATTACTCCCTCACTGGTAGAGAGTAAGAGTGTGGATTACTCCTATTACTCTCTCCCTGGTAGAGAGTAAGTGTGTGCATTACTCGGTATATCTCCCTCCCTGGCAGAGAGTGAGAATGTTTATACTGCAGGAATCCGATGAGATATGAAGATCTTCTTCACAAATGCCCAGTAGGGGTAAGGTCGGAACGTTACAACAACAACCAATACGAAAACACGCTACGAGTGTAAAGTATAGGAACGGTAATCGCAAAACAATAACAAAAATAACTAAACTTTTTATTTTACCAGGTAAAGGCCACTGAGCTATAACCTTCTTCAGAAGCGACCTGGCCACAAATGGTAGCTGAACGAAGTGGCTTATCACGGGGAAAATTCATAGCAGCCAAATAATCTCAACGCGTGTTTCTCAACATTGTATCCGTTACTCGTATTACTCTCTCTCCCCTCTCTCTGTGTCTGGCAGAGTGTGACGCTTCTCTCCCCCCCTCGCCCCGCTCGAGCCAGGAGCCGCCGTGTCGGTGCGTCAGAGTGGATCGTTCTCCCGTCGGAGCGGATTGACGCGGCACGGAGCCATGAGGGTGCGCCTCGTCCCCGCGCTGCAGGACAACTTCATGTACCTCCTGGTGGACGAGCGCACACAGCGCGCTGCCGCCGTCGACCCCGTCGAGCCCGACAAGGTCAGGGGTCAAATTTGGGGTCGGGGCAGGGGGCAGTCGTGATTTTGGGTCGTGATGTTTTGGGGGGGGATCAAATCCACGCTGCAACTGCCGGTAATCGCGTTAGTGGCTGATGCAATTCAGGGAGCTGCGTGGCAAGATGTTAATTGCCTCGTCTGGTATGCAGGAGGTCGTGGGTTAGACCTTGACACCTGTATATTTGGAGTTTGCGTGTCTATCTCCCCATAGTCACGTGGATTGTTCTCCGGGTCTTCCGGTTTTCCCCTCCACGTTGAGAATCAACGTGAGTATGTGGCTGCTCTCAATGTCCACGTGATATGAGCCACTTCGTTGAGCTTTCATTTGTGGCCAATTTGTGATCGCTTCTGAGAAAGAGCTATACAGCTCAGTGGACCATAGTTTAGAATTTAAAATTATTATTTCATTTCAAACTCCTTGAGGAAAAAGTTTGCAATTTAAAAGCAGTCACTTTAACGCTATCAATCTGGACGAGTATGGAAAGTAATATATACCCTTCAGATATAATCTTTGATTTAAATACAATCTCGTGTATGAACAGGAGGGAGTTCCTTTTTCTTTGATCTGGTCGGGAGATATCATTTCGTGGGCTCATTGAGGTTCTTCGTGGAGAGGTACCTTGCGGCTGAGATCAATATGAAGGTGAGAATTAAAAAGTAGCATTGAGACGACTCAAGGCCCTGACTGAGGCATATTGAACCCATGAATGAGTACCTGGTGCGGTGGAGAAACATCAGCACTGGGGGCGACAATGGTGACTGGGCACGGTGTTGCGCACCCCTTCGTGCGCCATGCCAGCCTCCACAGGTGTTCGCTACGGGCACTTGCCCCCTCCAGTTGTAAGGCTATACGGGGAATCTTTGTCTTGGTAATGATACATGCATACAGTACGTGTGCGTGTGTGGTAGCACGCTGCGCTGTGCTACGAACCCGGCGACCCGAGTTCAGTTCCCACTCGCGGCCAACACCAGTGACGATTATCTAACCGGTCCTGGGCCTCCCCCTCCCCTAGGTCGACTCAGCCTCAAATGAGTACCTCACACGGCAGGTAAACCGCCACTATTACGGAGACACATGCGGTTGGGCTGGCCACCCACCCCCTCGTGTGCCATGTTGGACTTCATAGGTGCTCGTTAACAGCACTTGACCCAACAGTTTGTTGAGGCTATACGGGGGATTTTTGTCGTTGTGCGTGTGCAGATTATTGCAGCTGCTCGGGAGGAGGGTGTGCAGCTCACTACTGTGCTCACGACTCATCATCACTGGTGATACCACACACTGCTCATCACACTTGCCACACATGGCACACACGCAGAGTGCTGGGTGGAGAGTATGTGTCGGGTGGTTGTGTTGTTTACATCGAATACACTGCACACACACACGCACATACTCTGCAATACACACACACACACAGTGATTCTCACAAACACACACACAGTGACACAACAAAGCCTTTAGCAGACTGCAAGTGCTGTTAGCGAGCACCCATTAAGGCCGGCACGGCACACAAAGGGATGGGTGGCCAGCACCACGCCCGGCCACCTTTGTTTCCCCAGTGGCGATGTTTACACATCGCACCAGCTACTCATTTGAGGCTGAGTCGACCTCGGGGAGGCCCAGGACCGGTTCGAATAATTGTCACCGGTGTTGGCCTTGAACTAGGAATCGAACGCGGCTTGCCGGGTTTGTGTAGAGCAGCGTGCTGGCTGTTGCACTACCATTCGGCACGCACGCACGCATGCACGCGGCAACACAAACGCTGCACGTGCGTGCGCACACCTCCGCTAGCATGCGCGTCACGCAAAGCTGCACAAGGGCACGAGTCGCAGCCGTGCGCGCAGCTCCGCTAATGCTGTTTGCTCTCAATGCCCATCACCATTAACACGACGCTTAGACACAATCAGCAGCACGCAACACAATTACTATGCGCCGTGTGCGCGGCGCTCCACTCGCCAATTACAATGTCGATGATTTGTAACGGGCTGCGGGGGTCCGGGCAGGGGGTGAGTGAACGAGGGGGACGAGGAGGAGGAGGTGAGGAAGGGGGGGGGGAACGTGGGGTTAATGGGTTTTAGCGTTAAGGGGGGGTGAGCGTCGGGTGACGAGGTGTGGTGGATGGTGAGGGTGCGGTGAGTGTGTTTGCTGGCCGTGTGTGGTGAGCGTAGTGGCGCTAGTGTGGTGAGTGAGTGGTGAGCGAGTGGTGAGTAACCTGTGTGCGTGTGTGCCTGTGTGTGTGTGCCTGTGTGCGTGTGTGCGTGCGTGTGCGTGCGTGCGTGTGTGGTGTGAAGGGACCACGCTGGCGGTAATGAGAAGCTGGTTGCCATGGAGCCGGGGCTGACCGTAGTCGGGGGAGACCAGCGAATCGGAGCGCTCACCTCGCACGTCAAGCACGGGGATGAGCTGCAGGTGGGGGTCACACCCCGCTGCATGCCATACTTCACCCCCTGTAGCACCCCCCCCCCGCCTACTCCACGGCCCCCACTGTGTGAGCGTGGGTGTGTGGTGCCGGCTGAGCCCGCGTGTGTGCCGTGGTCTGGGGAGCCGTGGTGCGGCGGCTTTCAAAGGTGCTCGCTAACAGCGCTTGCCCCCGAAACAGTCTGTTGAAGGCTACGTCGGGGATCTTTGTGTTTGTGTGCGTGTGTTGCGGTGTGGAGGGGGAGCAGCAGTTGCAGCGGTTAGCGCGCCGCGCTACGGACCCGGCGACCCGAGTTCGATTCCCGCTCGTGGCTAGCACCAGTGGTGGATGTCTGAACAGGTCTTGGGCCTCCCCTAGATCGACTCGGCCTCAAATGAGTATCTGATGCGATGTGTGAACATCGCCACTAGGGAGACAGAGGTGGCCGGGGCGTGGCGCTGGCCGCCCGCCCCCTTCGTGTGCCGTGCCGGCCTTCACAAGTGCTGCTCGCTCTTGCCCCAACAATCTGTTGAGGCTATTCGGGGCATCTTTGTCTTTGTGTGTTTACGGTGCAGATTGGCTCCCTGAACGTGCGGTGTCTGTTCACCCCATGCCACACGTCCGGCCACATCTGCTACTTCGTGACCCAGGAGGGGAGCACGGAGCCCCCCGCTCTCTTCACCGGTGAGCGTTACCCCCCCCCCGCCCCCCGCCCCCCGCCCCCATTACCCTCTTCACCAGTGAAGGCCCAGGACCGCCCCCGCCCCCTGCCTCCCGCAAGGTATTATAGCGACACATCGATTCATCTCTCGCAATCGATTCGTCCACAGACGACATCGTGTGTCTGGAGCTGCAACTGTCTATTATCTCTAAGCAGTCAACTCGTCCGTCAATTTTCACCAGGCATTCGTTTCGGGCCACCCCAGCACGCCAGCCACATCCACGGTACCTCTCGATTAATCCTCCTGATTGATCGTCTGCAGACGGACGCTGTTATGTACAGCAGCGGTCGCCCACTGGCATCTTCCGTTGCCGCACGCTGCTCTCGAATGCACCGCACGCGGCTCCGTCGAAGGGGCATAACGTAGAAACGCACCATCGCTGTAGCAAAGCATAATGAATGTCTCCCGTGCTGTGCCGATAACTGTCAATGTATATATACACTTTATATATATATTTTATATATGTATACTTTATAGATATACACTTTATGTAGAAACACTTTGATCTTTGCAGAACTCGTGGGTACTTTTTTGTCTTTGGTTCTGTCAAATGTTGGCCACCACCCTTGATGTAGAGGAATCGTAATCTAATATTGCAATTACTATGTTAATCGATTCAGCACTTGAGTGAGGCCTTTGTCCAGCATTGGATAGATCGTGATGATCATGGTGATGATGAAGATGACGTTGACGTTCCAAATGACAGTCCAGTATTACGTTCGGGCGAATGGGGGGACAGAAAAGTGCGGAACGGTGCCGAAAGCGACAATATCCGTCCCTGGAGAGACTCTCGCCAGCCCCAGTAAAGATTGTCTGAACCGGTAGGAATGTGGAATTGTCCACCACAGGGCTCTCAGGGCTGTGGAATGGGAGACGCACACCAGCACTGCCTCAGCGCTCATTTGAACGGGAAATCTCTTGGACTTTTGTCGACTTCTCCAACCGGATCACGACCACGAATCCGTCGTCACTCATCGGATTGTCACTGCCGCCGCCGCCGCTCCTCCATTGTGAAATGTCGTCTCGTGTGTTGTCTGTCACTCCCACACTCGCTTTATCTCCAATATGACCACCACCCCCCACGCCCCCCCTCCCCCCATTACTCATGTCTAACATCAACGTCAAACATGACGCGCGCACATAGCGCGCGTCGTTTGTTTAATGAACCGTTACTTTCATGCGAAAATTGCCTCTCTCCGTTTTTGTGTTCAACTCCCGAGCTTCGGTGGGGGTTCTCCCCGCGTCTTATTTAATACCGTGGGCGCGCCCTTTTTTCGTTCTCAATCAATAATTGCCCTGTCCGTCACGGGGAACTTCATCACTTGCCCGGTTTCCCTGTGCCTCGGCAAATAGCGATGACATTGCGCCGGTCCGACTTAAGTTTTACAAAGCGCTGCAAACGACCGCCGCGCACACCCCGGTCAACTCGGCCGCTGAGAGCGTGCGCGCGCGTGCTCTCGTGTGTGTCTGCGCGCGTGCGCTGAGCAACTACAAACTCGCCGTCTGCTCAGGCGCTCTTGATGAGGCTCTTCCTAATTTAAATGTAAATCCACCGCGGGCGGTTTTTTGAGCCGCGTGTGTTGTGCGCTATAGGGTGGCGTTGAGGTTTGGGTTTAGAACGTCGGGGAGTGTTGGTGTATTTTTCGGAGGCCGTTTACGCGGCGTTCTTTCAACGGGCGGGCGGAGAGAACCGGCCGAAATTTGAGCCCTCTGGCCCCACTTCCATATTTTTCCGCCCCCACACGGCTGGGGGGTGGGGGGGTCACTCTCCTGGGGGGTGGGGGGGGTCACTCTCCCCTCCCCCCCGCCCCCCACACGGCTGGGGGGTGGGGGGGGGGTCACTCTCCCCTCCCCCCCGCCCCCCACACGGCTGGGGGGTGGGGGGGGGTCACTCTCCCCTCCCCCCCGCCCCCCACACGGCTGGGGGGTGGGGGGGGGTCACCCCGGCGAGGTGGCAGTGCTGCCTCACTCCTCCAAGAAGCGAGCTGGGCATCGCCAGTGGTAGCTCGAGGAAGTGGCTTGTCGCGTGGAAGATTAGAGTGCTCGTCGAAATTACTCGGAACGCGTGACGTTGATTCTCAGGGTGGAGGGAGAAACCGGATGACCCGGAGAAAAATCCACGTGACCACCGGGAGAGAGACGCAAACTCCAAATATGCAGGCGTCAGGGTCAGAATCGACATCTCGCTGCCCTGCGGGTAGCCCTGCAGCAGTAGCAGCAGCAGTAGCAGCAGCAGTAGCAGCAGCAGTAGCAGCAGCAGTAGCAGCAGCAGTAGCAGCAGCAGTAGCACACTTCACTTGTGCTGCTTCCCCGTGATCCCCGCTCCTCGCTCGTTGTCTTCAAGTAAAATCCCTCTCCTCCACTCGCCTGTTCCTTGAGCCCCCCCCCCCCCGGCCCCAATGTTGTCGAGGGCCTCCCCACTTTTTCACTCACGTGCACGTACCAGGCTAGGCGGACATCTGTCCCTCTGTCTCCCTGTCTCTGTCTCCCTGTGTCCACATCCACCTGTCTCCCCATCGCCCTGTGTCCACATCCACCTGTTGTCTCCCTGTCTCCACATCCACCTGTCGTCTCTCTCTGTCTCCCCATCTCCGCTATCTCCTCGCCTCCGCCCCATCTCCTTATCTCGCTGCCTGTGTGTTGTGCGAGCGCTGCCACTCTTCCGCGGGTTAATCTCGGCTGACGATCAAGTGGGGGAGCCCGCTGAGACTCTGAGCTCTCCCGCCCTCTTCGAGGGAAGACCTGGCTCACAAAGGCCTTTTCGTGCACGTACGATAGAAAGGTCATAAACAGGAGCAACGTACGATGGAGTGAATGAGAACCCGCCAGGGTGTGCGCGCGCACGCGGGCGTCTTTGTACGTATTGTTTGGGGAGTGGCGGCACGATGGTTTAGCACACTGCGTAACGAACCCCAGAAAACCGGGTTCGATTCCCGCTCGCGGCCATCACCAGTGACTGTTGTCTGAACCGGTCCTCCTCCCCTAGGTCGACTCGGCCTCAAATGGGTACCTGGTGCAGTGTGTAAATATCGCCACTCGGGAGACAAAGGCGGCCGGGTGTGGTGCTGGCCAACCACCCCCCTCGTGTGCCGTGCCGACCTTCGTAGGGCGCTCGTTAACAGCACTTGCCCCAACAGTCTGTTCACGCTACACAGGGGTTCTGTGTCTCTGTACAGGTGTGGCCCACGGCCTTCATCGGTGCACGCTAACAGCGCTTGTCCCCAACAGTTTTGTCAAGGCAATACGGTGGGGGGGGGGGGGGGGATGTCTTTGTCTTAATTTGTCCCCCGCCCCCTCCCCGCGGCAGGAGACACGCTGTTCGTGGGGGGCTGCGGCCGCTTCTTCGAGGGCACCCCTCGGGAGATGTTCACGGCGCTCGTCGAGGTGTTGGGGGCCCTGCCCCCCGAGTCGGTGCGTCCCCCTCTCATCTCTCCGCGTCTCTACGCTCCGGCCCTCGGGGGGGCGGGGCTCCGACGAGAAAAACAAAAAAAAATCTTTACAATTGGGCCCTCCGTCTTCCGAGTGAACGCATTTGGCAATCTCTCACGAGTCAAGTAGTCTGCTTAAATTAACTCTGCCTCGCTGGTTTTCTCTGCTATCGACTGGGGCGCGCGTGCGCGTGCGTGCGTACGTGGTTGCGCGTGTGCGTTGTGTGTGCGTTGTGTGTGTGCGTGCGCGCGCGCCTGTGTCTGTGTGGGGAGTGGTCGTGTAGCGGTTCGCGCGCTGCGCCGTGAACCCGGCGAGTTCGGTTCCCGCTCACGGCCATGGATCTCCCCTAAGTCGACTCGGCCTCAAATGAGTACCTGGTGTGGTGTGTAAACATCGCCACTGGGGAGACAAAGGCCGTGGTGTTTGCCACGCACCCCCTCGTGTGCCGTGCCGGCCTTCATAGGTGCTCGCTAGCAGCACTTGCCCCTACAGTCTGTTAAGGCTATCCGGGGGGGGGGGCCCTTTGTCTTTGTGTTTTCTACCACAGCGAGTGTACTGCGGACACGAGTACACGGTGAACAACCTGAAGTTTGCACGTCACGTGGAGCCCGGCAACTCGGCAGTGCTGGAGAAGCTGGCTTGGGCAACGGTGCGTCTCCTCTCGCCCCCCTCCTTCACCCCCCCCGCCAGCCCCCCACCCCCCCAGCCCGCCCACCCACTAGCACCCTCCCAAGTGAGGCACGGGAGAGGAGTGTGGTAGCGCGACCGTGATAACCTGTGTATTGGAGGAGAGTGTGTGTGTACGTGTGTGTGTGTACGTGTGTGTGTACGTGTGAGTGTGTGTGCGTACGTGTGTGTGTGCGTACGTGTGTGTGTGTGCGTACGTGTGTGTGTGTGCGTACGTCTGTGTGTGTGTGCGTACGTGTGTGTGCGTACGTGTGTGTGCGTACGTGTGTGTGCGTACGTGTGTTTCTGTGCGTACTTGTGTGTTTGTGTGGGGAGCGGTAGTGCCGCGGTTAGCGGGTGAGTTGACCACGGGTGAGTTTACCTTGTCTGAGTTGACCGCATCTTAGTTGACGTGTGAGTTGACCGTTGTGTTTTGGCCGTGGCTGCAGGAGCGTCAAGCGAGGGGTGAGCCCACTGTGCCCTCCTGCATCGGCGATGAGTTCACCTTTAACCCCTTCATGCGCGTGAGGTAAGAGCTGAGTTCTCATTGTGGTGCACGTGGTGGACATTGGTCTCGCGTAGACAGACACGAGCGTTCCTCATAACCGGAAACTCACGTTCCTCATAACCAGAAACTCGCGTTCCTCATAACTGGAAACTTGTGATCCTCGCTGTGTGGAACAGGGAGCCGACGGTGCAGAAGCACGCAGGGAAGAGTGACCCCATCGCCACCATGGGCGCTATCCGACAGGAGAAGGATTCCTTCCGGCCCCCAGCCAACTAGCAGCGGCTCCACCTCAACCCGGCTCCACCTTCACCCGGCTCCACCTTCACTCGGTTCCACCTTCACCTGGCTCCACCTTGACCCGGCTCCACCTTGACCCAGCTCCACCTTCACCCGGCTCCACCTTGACCCGGCTCCACCTCGACCCGGCTCCACCTTGACTCGGCTCCACCTTCACCCGGCTCCACCTCGACCCGGTTCCACCTTCACCCGGCTCCACCTTCACTCGGTTCCACCTTCACCTGGCTCCACCTTGACCCGGCTCCACCTTCACTCTGTTCCACCTTCACCTGGCTCCACCTTGACCCGGCTCCACCTTGACCCAGCTCCACCTTCACCCGGCTCCACCTTGACCCGGCTCCACCTCGACCCGGCTCCACCTTGACTCGGCTCCACCTTCATCCGGCTCCACCTCGACCCGGTTCCACCTTGACCCGGCTCCACCTTCACTCGGTTCCACCTTCACCTGGCTCCACCTTGACCCGGCTCCACCTTCACTCGGTTCCACCTTCACCCGGCTCCACCTTCACCCGGCTCCACCTCGACCCGGCTCCACCTTGACCCGGCTCCACCTTGACCCGGCTCCACCTTCACCTGGCTCCACCTTGACCCGGTTCCACCTTCACCTGGCTCCACCTTGACCCGGCTCCACCTTGACCTAGCTCCACCTTCACCCGGCTCCACCTTCACCCGGCTCCACCCAGCTCGACCGCTGACGATCGTACGACCGCACAAGTCTGCTGCAGGAGCCGGCCTTACTCTCCACATGCACTCCGTGTGTTCGTGTGCGCTTGTGTGAGTGTGCGCGTGAAGGGGAGGGGGTAGTGTAGCGTTTGGCACGCTGCGCTACGAACCCGGCGACCCGACTTCAATTCCCACTCACGGGCCAACACCGGTGACGATTATCTGAACCGGTCATGGGGCCCTCTCCTAGGTCAACTCGGCCTCAAATTAGCACCTGGTGCGGTGTGTAAAAACGTCGCCACTGGGGAGACAAAAGCGTCGGGCGTGGTGCTGGCCACCCACCTCCTCGTGTGCCCTCCCTGCCTTCATATTTTCTCGCTAACAGCACTTGCCCCGACAGTCTGTTAAATCTATATGGGGGATCTTTGTCTTTGTGCGTGCACGTGCGTGCGCGGTCTTGACCCTCATCACCCTCGTCTCCCGACGCCAGTCCCAGCCCGCCGCGGCTCGACAAGACCTTCTGCTTGTTTCACGCCGACGCTCCGGATTCTCCGGTGCTGCCTTTGTTTGTGATGAGAGGTGCGCGTGCGTGCGTGTGTGTGTGTGTCTGGTTGATGAGGAGCGTGTGGTTGGTGTGGTGCGTGTGCGGATTGAAAGCATACGCCGTGAGGATGAGGCGTGTGTAATTGATGAGTTCTGTGTAATTGATGAGTTCTGTGTAATTGATGAGTTCTGTGCGATTGAAGGCGAAGGGGTTGTGCGGTTAAAGTGAGGGGGTGTGTTGTTGACGAGGTGTGTGTGTGTGGTCGATGAGGTGTGTTTGATGAAGTGTGTGTGGTTGACGAGCGAGGCCATGCGGTTGACCGCGACATCAACGCGGCTACGCGAGGCCTCCGCTCCCCAGCGATTCCGCATCACCGGTCCTGGTTTGGTTTTTTTCCCCCTCCTCTTCCACTTTTTAATTCTCGTGCTGTCCCGCTGCCAAACCGCGAGGAATAAATCTGCAGATTCATCGCTGCGCTGTGGTTCGGGTGCTTCTTGGGCCGCGTGCGTGCGGCCACGCACGGGGCTCTGTGCGGCCACACACGGGGGCTCTGTGCGCTGCGCTGGAATTTATCGGCAGCGTCGCCGTCACTCTCTTTATCTGTGTGCTGGCTGCGCTTTGGCTGGACGTGTCACGAGCGTGGTGAGGGAGTGGGGCGGATGATGGACGGCGGTCAAGAAGAATAATAGGGGGGGGGGGGTTGGAAGGCAGCCGAGGCATGGAACGCGTCGTCAGAAGGGTGGTTACGTTCCTACCAATGAGATGAAGTGATTAAAAAAATACTCGGTCCGTGCGCACGTGCCGGGTGTTGATTGTGCATATCGCGGGACGCCGCGGTGGCTAGGAGATGTTAACTACCTCGCCTGGTATACAGGAGGTCGTTGGTTCGATCCCGACCCTGACGCCTGTTGTATATTTTGAGTTTGCATGTTCTCCCCGTGGTCAAGTGGATGATTCTCCGGGTACTCCGGGTTTTTTCCCCTCCACATTTAAAACGTGCGTTCGGAGTAACCGGCCGCTATACATTTCGACGTAAGCCCACTTCGTTGATCTACCATTTCTACCATTTGCGAGGTCGCTTCTGAAAAAGCTCTATATAGGTCAGTGGGCCTTACCTGGTAAAATCAAAAAAATACTTAAATACTTTAGTTTTTGAGTTCAGCAAGAGGTGGTGGTGGCTTTGGGGGGGAGGCCTTAATCCAGCAGTGGGTTGACCACGGCTCACGATCTGGCCAGGTGCCGGGTGTGCAGATGCCCGACCCGAACTCGGAAGGTTCAGGAGTTCAACGTCAGGTGGGAGAGGTCATTTGTACGCGATAGCCATTGGCTCGCGGTAGGAAACCAGAGGGGCGTTTTCACGCGAAGGGAATCACTCGAGAAATTCCACACAGGTGGGTCATAGGGCCCCCTCACCTCGCTGTGACGATAGCTGGGCAGGAGTCTCTTGCACGCTCTTCTCTTGCTCCTACCACGATGACTGTTCCGGTAAACGTCACTTAACACATCCCTGCGGAGGGAGCTGGTAGGAACGCTGGGTTGCTCGGTCAATGGCCAGGGTCAACGGCGGCGTGGTGTATTCCGCAAATATGCCCGACTGTGAGGGCGGGCACAAGCCGGCGTGAGTAGGTTAAACGTTGAGTTTTATAAGGGCACCACGGGGTGACCAGCCCCTCCCCACCCAGCCCCACCCTGCCCCACCCTGCCCCACCCTCTCCCCACCCAGCCCCGCCCCACCCAGCCCCACCCTCCCCCCACCCTGCCCCACCCAGCCCCGCCCCACCCTGCCCCACCCTGCCCCACCCTCCCCCCACCCAGCCCCACCCGGCGCTCTAAACGCAAAACTACCGCCCCCCCCCCCACACACACAATGCTCTCTACGCGATCCACCAGCCCTCCCACGCCTCTTTCTCGCTCAAATCTCGTTACGAGCGGCGGCTGTTAATTTGCGGCGACTGTCGAGAAGAGACTCGGCGCGTGGCGGCGATACGCGGATGGAGGGAGGACGAGGAGGGGGGGGTCTCCCTTAATGAACCCCAACACCTTCGCTAGCCGCGGACGGGTTCGAATTAAAAGTGGTAAAATGCTTGTCGCGTGGGAGAACGCGGCTGCCACTGGAGTGTCACCGCCTGCAAAGGAGGGGAGGGGGATGTGGCTGTCAACGAGTAAGAAGGCGAAAATAATGCGCGCACTATAATCGCGCCGATTTACAGAATGTAGTTACAGGGCAATCGATATAATTCATCGCCGTGTTGTTACCACCCCTCACTCCCTCCCTGCCCGCGCCTCCGATTTGCACGGTTGGGGCTGTGTACGGCGCGAAAGAGGTTCAACATAACGCATGTCCACACACGTGGGTAGAGATTGCATCAGTCGTCACAATGAATAACACTGTGTGACGCACTTATAATGTTTTGTTCCTGGGTAGTAAGTGTTATTTCCTCATTGCTTATGCCTCAAAAGTATAGAACATGGATATTATTCAATCCTGATGTGAAGCTTTCGTGGCTGCAGGAATCAATACTCTTTGGTTCTTTCGGTAAAGTCAACCACAGCAAGGGGAAAACAAACTGCTGAAGTTGTTTCTTGTTGTGGTTGTCCCACCTGATGGCGATTGCTTGTGTTGCAATCAAAACGTCGTGATCTATTATTTTTCTACCTACGTGACTTTACCGAAAGAACCAAAGAGTATGGCTATTATTCCCCAGAAACTTTGCTTTTGTGACCAGGACAGTGACGCGATCCGCGGATCGAGGAATTGTTTCACGCGAAACCGCATACCCTTTTGTGATTGGCTAATATCTGCACGATCGGTGTAGATATTAGCCAATCGGAGGCCACGTGAAGTGTTGAAGGTCCGCTGGCAGGAAGGTGATGGGACAGACGCAGGTGCCTTTGACTGATTGACTGAGATGATTGTGCCCCCCCCCCCCCCCACTGTGGAAACGTGATTCTCAGAGTATTTGGCCGCTATAAATCCTCACGCGTAAAGCCACCTCGGCGCGCTATCATTGGCGACCGCCGGGTAGCAGCTCAGTGTACCTCGCTTTGTAAAATCAAATAAAACGTGGTGACGGTAAAACTCTCTCCCCGTTGTTTTCGACGCACGCCACCACAAACCCAAACACCACCAGCGCGCAGAGACTCGGCGCGTGGCAAGTCTGATTCTGACGGGGTGGAACCGCTCTAATTTACACGTTGATATTTCATTCACAAGCCCATTGTCACGTTTAAATGGAATTTCCAATTCGCTGGTGATGTATTTATCCGTGTTACGAAGAAGAAGAAGAAGAAAAAAACGTATCACCGCCTAACGGAGAATTAATTTTGCGCGCTTCTCTCACGCGTGCACGCTCGGAAAGCGGACGGCGTGGTGTGGGGTTGGGTGTGTGGAGACCGCGTTTGGAAATAAGAGCGGCGAGATTGCCTTTCTTGACGGGGTATTGTTTAGCGTGCGGCTAGACGGAGGCCATTGAATTATTAATCGTTCGTGGCGAGGTTCTTTCAGATGTGGATTACGGGCGAAAATGTACGCCTCCGTGAGGTTTGCGCCTAATTTGATGTAAAGCCATTTAGCGGGCGTGGCGCGCTTGGCCTCTGCTCTGGCGTGTGACGCATGGGCACACAGCAGAGGTCGCAAACGGGTTTTGATTCCTTACCCGATACCCGGCTACCCGTACCCGGCCGGGTATCGGGTAGGGTACGGGTACGAGTACTCGATTGCGAACTCTGGGATGAAGCCATGTTGCAGGCGCGGGTGGGTTGATTATAGGAACTTGAATTGTGAGAAGAGACAAGACGTTGGGAAATGAGTGACAAACAGTTACTCACCAGTGACTCACGGCCTACCCGGCTACTCGTACCCGGCCGGGTACGGGTAGCCGGGTATCGGGTAGGGTACGGGTATCGGGTACCCGATTGCGACCTCTGGCACACAGTCGGGGCACGGCTCTTCGGTGGAATCTTGGTGGGATGGGATGGGATGATGGGATGGGTGCTTAATTTTTCACTGGATATGTTCCAGCTCGCCGGTAAACTGGCAGAGGTTGAGAGGCACGACTCTCGTGGCCACGGCCATCGGGAAGCGGTGCAAAGGACGCGCTCTGTCGGGGTTCCGCTGGCTGGTGGAGTGGAGTAGAAGATGGGCGAGGATGGAGTGTGGTCAACTCCCGCGACTGACGGCGGCGCGGCGATGCCATCTTGCAGTGGATTGAAAAAGGAACCCGGACTTGATTATTGTTTAGTCATGCAATTGTGATCACTGTTACACCTCTCGCTGCCGAGAGGGCCAGCCCTGCGGCCATGAAAGCCAGGCATGGTCCCGCTGAGATGCGCGTACAGCAATTCCATGGACGGCCAAGTCGCATCTTATACTCGCCGAGTGTTCTTGAGTCGGCTTGGTTTCCTCCATCAGGCCCAAACGACTGTCCAGGCCAGTGGCAACGATCAGCAAAAGCAAACTTAGCAAAGGCTTAAACAGATCAGTTAAAATCTTTTTTTTATCTCACTAGGTAAGGCCCACTGACCTATATATAGCTCTTTTTCAGAAGCAACCTGGATATCACAAATGATAGCTCTACGAAGTGGCCTATCGTGTGAAAACTTATAGCAGCCAAATGCTCTAAACGCGCAAAATGTCTAAATGTGGAGGGGAAAAAACCGGACGAAAATCCCCGCGACCACGGGGGAGAGAGACCTGCAAACTTCACGAGGCAGTTAACATCTCGCCACCGTGGCGCCCTCACTTCACTTGATGCTGATGCTGCGTTGGCAGCTGTACACAAAACACAGAATTCCACGCATTCGTCACTAACACTGTGTGGCCTTAAAAGGAAGAAATATATATAATATGCGACGTTTCGGGCAATGGCCCTCCTTGACTGTGTTCCATTTCGAGGCCACGTTGTTAGTGACGAATGCGTGGAGTTTAGAGCAAAGCTCAGAGCCCCGCCCCCCCAATACATTGAAGCCCCACTCCCACTCCTCTCGAAACCACGCAACACATAGGGAGTCGCCATTGAATGCATTATTCATCTTACAACGTGAGCTTCTCATGAACACGTCAACGACCGCTCGCTTTCTGACATTCGGATAAATTCAACATTTGAAAATGTGTGCCACGATGGCGAGATGTTAACTCCCTTGCCTGGGTATACAGGAGGTCGTGGGTTCGATCCCGACCACAACACCTGTACACTTGGAGTTTGCGTGTCTCTCCCCCAACGTGGTCGTGTGGATTTTTCTTCGGGTCCTCCGGTTTTTCGCTCCACATTTAGAAGCAAAGTGCGTTTAGAGTATTTGGCTGCTATAAATGTCCACGTGATAAGCCACTTAGTTATCATTTGTGGCCGGGTTGCTTCCCTCTTATGTATCCTTCATCTCACTACATCCATATACATAATGCGCATGCATAATATGCGTGTGTGATGTACATACATTATTTATGGTGAATAACTGTGAATAACCCGACCA